TCTTGTGAAAAGGAATTAAAGAAAAGCTTAAAGCCAGGTGTGGTGGTGCATACCTTTAATCCCAGAACTCCAAAGACAGAGGCTGGCAGATCTCTAAGATTAAAGCCAGCCTGGTCTACAGAGCAAGTTCCAGGACTGCTAAGCTTAGGCGGTGAAGGAAACCATGGAAAATAAGAAGCTGGTGAAGATGTAATTGAATGAGGGGGCCGTGTTCCAGCCCCAGCAAGCAGCAGAACTTGGCAGCTTTGGCCATGTGTCTATGGCTTTAAGAACAGGGGAAAAAAAAGTTACAGAATTTGCCTCTGTGACTATGTGTTTCAGCTCTGGCTGTCCTGGAACTCACTTTGTAGATCAGGCTAACCTAGAATGCACCAAGATCTGCCTGCCTCTGCCTCCCAAGTGCTGGGATTAAAGGCATGTGCTATCACAGCCATACTTGACTTTTTTTTTCTTTTCTTTTTTCCTTTTTTTTTTTGTTTTTTTTTTTGTTTTGTTTTGTTTTTTCTGAGACAGGGTTTCTCTGTGTAGCTTTGGAGCCTATCCTGGAACTCACTTTGTAGAACAGGCTGGCCTCAAACTCACAGAGATTCACCTGCCTCTGCCTCCTGAGTGCTGGAATTGAAGGCATGTGCCATCACTGCCCGGTCTTGACTTTTTTTATAGTATGTAGTTATCCAGCTGATGATCTTGAACAGGATCCTATAAATTAATGGTATTTTTTAGATTATTCTTATGTTTATATGTACTTCAAGTTATAAATCATATCAAGCCATGTTTGCTAAAATAATTTATTAGTTAGGATTTCTATTGCTGTGAAGAGACATGATCATGGCAACTCCTATAAAGGAAAGAATTTAACTGAGGCTGGCTTACAATTCAGAGGCTTAGCCCATTATTATCATGGCTGGAAGGATGGTGGTATGAAGGCAGATATGGTGCTGGAGAAGGAGCTGAGAGTTCTACATCCTGATTGGCAGATAGCAGGAAGAGAGAGACCCTGGCCCTGGCTTGAGCACTTGAAACCTCAAAGCCTACCCCCAGTGACACATTTCCTCCCACAAGGTCACACCTACTCCAACAAGGCCACACCTCCTAATAGTGCTACTCCCTATGAGCCTATAGGGGCCATTTTCATTCTAACCACAACAATGTGTAAATGAATAAAAAAACAAGAACAACAACAAAAACCCGTGTTATTCCAACCTGAGGTATTTGCATGCTACCAGGTCATTGCTAGCTTTTAGTAACATGGAGTTTTTATTTGCTTGTTTAAGGTGGTTAATTAGTGTCTTCTTTTTAATGGTCTATAATAAATATTTGTTTTCATGTAAAAAGATACAGTGATTGTAAATACACATGGTCCAAACATTGGTGCTTCCAATTCTAAACTGGACATAAAGGAACAGATAGCTCCAGATACTACAGTAGGAGTAGATTTCAATACCCTACTCTTATTAGCAGATTATGTATATGAAAAACTAATGAATAAATATTAAAGATAAACTATATCATAGATCAAATGAGCTTAACTGACATCTGCACAATATTCTATCTATAAGCTGTTCATCTTATTTACCTCTGGAACTTTCTCCAAGATAGATTACATTTTGGGCCATACAAGTAAAAAAAATACACAAAGAAAACATAATGTAGTAATAATTCTTATCTCATCAGATTGTAATGAACTGAAACCAAAAATAACCAAAGAAATTATACAGTCATATTGAGCCAGAATAATATACTTTTGCGTGATTAGCAAGTCATTGAAGAAATCAGGGATTAAATTGCTTGTGTGTTTGTTTGTTCTGGCAGTATTGGGGATAGAACCCAGGCTCTTGTGTGTAGCAGTTAAGTGCTCTACCACTGGTCTATAGTCTTCAGCCCAAAGGTGAAGTTCAATAAATTTAAAAGCTTGTGACCTTGCTCACAACTGCACTTCTGCCCACTGGGATCTACAGGAGAAAATTAAGTCTCAACAACCTTAAATTCATAAGGTGTGATTTGTACAAAGATACTTATTAAGGGGTATGTGTATGTGTGTTCATGTGTGCTTGTACCTGCTCATGCACATATCAGAGGTTGATACCAGGATGTCCTCTCTCAATCTCTTTTCTGTTTTCTTTAAGACAGGGTCCCTCACTGAAGCCAGAGCTCACCATTTCAGCTAGACAAGCTGGCCAGCTAGCCCCTGAGGTCCACCTCTCTCTGTTTCCCAGTGCTGGCTTTATAGGCATGTTCCGTCATGCCTAGCTTTTACCTAGTTCTAGGGATCCAAACACAGCTCCTCGGGTTTGTGCAGCAAGCATGTTACCCAGTGAGCCAGCTCCCTAGTCCTAAAGTGTTATTTTTAATGATGAAATGACAGGGGGAGGGGCAGTTAAACTATGAATACTCAGTCTTACTGACACCTTGATTTTGGACTTTTATCCTCTAGAATGGAGACAATATGTTTCTCTTGTTTTAAGCCATAAAATATTTCAAACCTGGGAACAAAATATACATATAAGAGCATGGAGTTTACAAAGTATTTGTCACAATACTAAGGACATAAGTCATACAGTAACAGGCTTCTAGTTGCTGAGAATGGATTCCCCTTTCACAGTCGTCAGTCTGTAAAACTGGGAAGTAAAATTTCAGCCTCTTAATTACTGGTCAAAAGAATGGGATCTGAGTCTTCTCTTGGCCCTGGGCAGGAACATTTTGTTTTAACCTGCCAAAAACATCATAATATTACTTGTAAAGGACAAAAACATGCCCTTGTCCTCTCCTTTAAGAGTTAAGTCAGCTGGGGGGGGGGGTGCCTCACACCTTTAATCCCAGCTCTGGGGAGGCAGAGACAGGTGGATCTCTGTGAGTTCGAGGCCAGCCTGGTCTACAGAGTGAGTTCCAGGACAGCCAGGGCTACACAGAGAAACTCTGTCTCAAAAAACCAAAAAGAAAAAAAAAGACTTAAGTCAAGTGGACCAGCCAATCCCCTGGGAAGGAACCACCTCTCAGCAAGTTTTGTGTTCTGGAAAGTTTAAGAAGTAGTATAAAGCCTACATGTCACCATGGTGGTCCCTGACCATGCTCACATTCACCCTGGGAGTGTGTTTTCCTCTTCAGTGGCCTCTTTGGCCATTGTCTGCTCTCACCCTGTGAGAATGCCTTTCTCTAAAACGGTGTCTTTGGTCACTGTTCACTCTCATCCTTGAGAGTCAGTTACACTATTCTATAATAATTATGCCTGATTTCTGCACTGTGTTCTGTGTGTTCTCTGAAATCATTCCATCAGGATTACAAGATTCTGAAAACAATACTAGGAAAAAATTCTACTTCATTAGAATATAGAAAGGAGTCTTTTTACAGGATGGGGGTGGAGCAAGAAGGATCTCATGTAGCCCAGGTTGGTCTCAAACTCACTACATAGCTGAGGATGACTTTGAATTCTGGATTCTCCTGCCCCCATCCCTAGTGCTAGAATTATAAGCATGTACCATCATGCTCAGATCAGAAATTATTTTATTTTTCTCATGCATTCAATAAAACCTGAATATGCTTGATGTTATTAAGAAATATTGTTAATTTTTCATTTTACTTTATCATCCCTACATACATGCTTACCTATTTAAGGAGGAAATGAAATGACATCCAGGTTGACCTCCATTGGAGGGACTGTTCCTGCTGGAATGAAATAGTAGACTTCCTGTGGTCACCATCTGGATGGGTGATGAGTAGGTGAGTTTAATTATGGTCCTCTGTCTTGTTCTGTTTTGTCTCATGCAGCCCAGGCTGGCCTCCAACTCTCTATATAACCTTCGACTCCTGACTCTCCCATCTCTAGTTCCCCAGTGCTAAGATTGCGAGCATGTGCCACCATGCCAGGTTTATGTGTAGAGAGGCTAAAAACTCAGGGACCATCCGAGCGAGGCAAACATTCTGCCAACTGAACTAACTACATCATCTGCCCATTTTGCTTTGATTTTGGTTTTTAGTGCTCGGGACCAGCCTTAGCAGTTTTGGGGGTTTGAAGGATGGGATATTTGGAATGTACAGTAATGATTTAGATTTTATGGCAGTTTTTTTTTAGCTGAAGCATAGGAAGGGTTTTGTTGTTGTTGTTGTTGTTGTTAGAGGCATTTTTTTTTCTTTTGGTTTTTCGAGACAGGGTTTCTCTGTGTAGCTTTGCCCCTGTTGTGGATCTTGCTCTGTAGCCCAGGCTGGCTTGGAACTCACAGAGATTCTGCCTGCCTGTAGCTTTGCCCCTGTTGTGGATCTTGCTCTGTAGCCCAGGCTGGCCTTGAACTCACAGAGATTCTGCCTACCTCTGCCTCCCAGAGTGCTCGGATTAAAGGCGTGCGCCACCACCATCCCAAGGCATTATTTTTTTATTTATTATGGAGGATTGGCTTGAAATAGGAAGTTTAGGCAGCTTTGCTTTAGTTATAGTCTGCTTTATTATAGACCAAAATAGCAGGGCATTTTTATAGGTATTTGAGTTTGTTTTTTATGCTTGCGCCCCCCCCCACTTTTTGATATTATTGCTTACCCCTTTTTATAACATGTAATTTAAAGGTTTTTTTGGGGGAGCCGAGGACTTGTTTTGCGAATGAAAATGATAAAGTTCTTTAGACTTTTTTTTTAAGTTGTCTATTGTCTAAAGAAATTACATGTGAAATACAAAGATGACTAATTTACCTTCCTTCCTCCTTCTCCTCTCCCTTCCTCCTCCCTCTTCCTTCTTTTCCTCCTCTACACATTTCTTTCCTCCTCCCTCTCCCTTCCCCTTTCCTTCTTTTCCTACTCCTTCTCCTCCTTCCTTTCCTTCCATGCCCCTTCACCCAGCTGGAACACTCGGAGTTTTCTTGAGTTGAAACGGTGCAGCTGGAATAAAGCAAAGTGTCCCCGGCCTGGGCAGGTTAGTCACTGCCAGCGCCACTGCAGGCAGGTTGCCAGGACTGTGTTCCTTTCTTGGGGTCACCGGGGAAAGTGACCTGGGTGTAGAATCCATCTGCTCAGAACGGCCGCACTGGGGCGACACCTCCGCAGTCGCGCAGGGACGCAGAGCGTGGACAGTCCATCTCAGGGCTACCTGGAGAGAAATTCTGAAACTTGCAACCCGAATTACCGAGGGCCAGCAGCCAGGGCAGGTGACAAGTGAACAGGGCTGAAGTTAGGTGTGCGCACAAAGCTGCAGAGTGGACCCAAAGGAGTTTGCGTCTGCAGCGAAGACAACACTAAGGAGCGGAAAGGGAGATCACCGACTTGTACAGGTGAGGGCCCCGCACTTGGTGGGACAAGAGCAGCCTCACTGAGGAGGGGATGCCACTGCGGGCCGCCGGGGCTTCTTCCAAAGCAGGGGTGGGGATGCTGAGTCACAGATCTGTCACCACTTTGCACCTCTTTGCAACCCCGGGGGCTAAAGCAAAAGCGAAAGCGAATGCTCCTGGCTGCCGGCTGGTCCTGGAGCTGAACTCGCCACCTCCCAGAGACCCCAGCCTTGCGTCCCGGTGGGTCACTGCGAGGGACGATCCGCCATGGCTTCACCGCAGCTCCGGGGCTGTGGAGTCCACGCCCTCCAGGTGTTGCTGCTACTGCTGCTGCTGTTGCTCCCGCTGCGGGTGATGCCGGGTAGGGAGCGCCGCGAGCCCGAACAGGGGAACAGAGGGGGACTCGAACACCCAGCTGAACTTGACCCGTGGGGCTCACGACTTCACGGGACTGAGCCAGGAGTTCAGCTGGAGAGGATCACGGCGGGGCGTGGGGGTTGGTGGTGGTGGTGGTGGTGGGGTTGGGACACGTGGAGGCAGCCGCGGAGAGCGCAGGTAAGAGCCCCTTACCCTGCTGCAGGCTGGCTCCGGAGTCGAGCGACCCCACTGATGTTTCCGAGACTTAGGGAGGAGAGCAGGTCTGGCAAGCTCGACAAGAGTCAGGGAACTTGGAGACATGTGTGACTGTGCCTCTGCCAGCCCACACGCGCAGCTATGGGGTGTCGCACGCACGGTGTGGGGGTCCAGCAGGGGCTGGAGGAAAAACCACCCCTCACGACTTTCAGATCAAAGTAAATTAGACGGAAGGCACTGGGCAAAGGACTGCGCCGGCCGCGGGTGGAAGAAAACGTGTGGGGCAGGTTGCATATCTGAACGCTGGGAAACGGCTCCCAGTTCTCAAGGGCGCAGGAAGCTCGGGGCTGGGATGGTTGGAAAGCAGGGCAGCCTGTGCTCCCAGGAGAGAGGGGGTGTTATATGTCCCAGAACGTGTGGCCTAGATCTAATCTCATCGGGAAGAATGAGTGAGACCCTAGTTTGGTTCCTAAAAGAGTAGAAGGAAAGAGAAAGAATAGATGGGTCCTGGCCCGGGATGCTTCATCTTTTTATAAACATGAAATTCTTCAGAGGCTGATAAAAACCTATGTACTCTCTGTACAGAAATTACGTGAAAGCACATGTTTGCAAAATGTGCGCATAATTTGAGGACCGAGGACTCCCTCATTGAAGGTCATCCATGGACTTCCCTGTGTTAGCAACTCCTTATGTTTTAAAGCAAGATTTCCCAGGGATGGGCGGGCATCCAATCCAGTCTCCTTGGGACTGGGTCCTAGCCATCCCACTCACACTTGCTCCTGGGGTTGGCTCTGTAGGGGTGTTATGGGGTTTCATTTTCCCAAGGCTGTTATTCTTGGGCCCCCACCCTCTATCTTTGAAGCTGGGTTGTGTTGGTCAATTCCCTTTAACTGGATAGCAAAGAATGTTCCTGAGCTGCCAGAAATAGCCTGCAGCTATTTCAAATTGTCTGAAAGTGAATGTAGTTTTAGTCTTGCTCAGCCTAGAGGAAGCGCCTCCCCATTGCCCGAGGAAGGCCTTTCACCAACTCAGGTGCTACAGCACAGTCTCACTCTTTGACCTTATGACGCTTTTGCCATCAGCTGGCACCTGAATCGTGCTTTTAAGAACAGCCCTATTGGGTCATACCTGACTCGAATAAACTGCATACATTTAAGTTGTACAATTTGGTAAGTTTCAAGATAAAAGTGTACACTCTTGAAGCTATCACCATAATCAAGACAGGGACATGCCCATTACTGCCACGTTCCCTACGTCCTCCACAATCCTTATCTCCTGCCCCAGGCTGCAATGGCTTATCTTTTCTCTGCAGATTTGTTGCACTTTCCAGAATTTTGTATAAATGGAGTTATATGGCATGTGCTCTTTCGTATACGGCTTCTTTAACTCAGTAATTATTCTAAGGTTTTATTCATGTTGTAACATGAATCAACAGTAAATTCCCGTCAAATCTGGTGGAACATGCTTACTTATAATCCCAATCACTCCTAAGGCTGAGGCAGGAGGATCTCTAGAGTCAAGGACAGTCTGTGTTACATGGTAAGCTCTAAAATCAAAAGTAAAGAAAGAGATAGAAGGGTGGCTGCTGAGGAGATGGTTTAGTGGTCAAGGACACTTGCCACTCAGATTTGAGGACCCGAACTCATGTGAGCAGGATGAACAGCAGAGTAGGGTGGGGAGAGAGAGAGAGAGAGAGAGAGAGAGAGAGAGAGAGAGAGAGAGAGAGAAACAAGGCAGGAAGTGAGGAATGACTCACTACTCTCTTGCCTCAGCATCCCAAGTGCCGGGATTACAGGAGTGTGTGCGCCGCCGTACCCAGCAAAACATTTATTGTTAGAGATGTGACTGAACTTCAGTTGCCTCCTGATTGTGGGCATTTAGGCTGTCTCAGCATGTTTAATGTTCCCTAACTGCTCAAAACCAGCAACATTTAAGAGGTAACATGTTGGGAGATGATATACCCTCTTTTTCTTCTTCCTCTTCTTCTTTTCTTGAGACAGGGTATTATTATGTACCACTGGCTGGCCTAGAACCCTCCAAGTAGACTAGGCTCACTTTGCCAGAGATCTGCCTGCCAAGTGCTGGGATTAAAGGTGTGCACCACAATGCCTGGCCCTGGTGATTCTCTTTCTTCTACAATCCCTTCACATGTGTTCTAGGAATCACTTTGGTGTCATTTGTCACATATGGCAGTAGATGTTAGTGGAAGGCTTTCTCCTTGAAGGACTTGATACTCTTTGAGCAATATGGTAGGGGACTGGAGGTCTGTGGAGGAAATAAATACATTGCTAGGGCTGTACCTTGGACAGGTGCTCTAAGAGTGTGGCGAGCAAACTGTAGTCAGGAGAGCCTGGAGGCTGCAGGTGAGACTGAGGCTTCTGCAATAGTTCAGGGAGTGGTGAAGAAATCCTCAAGCAGAGCGGTATCTATGGGAGACCAGAGCGAGAGACGTCCTCCTAAGTCCAAACAGTGTGGAACAGGTTTCATTCTTTTCCTGTCATTTGAGCTACAACCTTAACCACCCAGCCTCCTGACTCTCAGAGTGGATTAGGAAACCTAGTTAATAAAACGGAGGGGCAAAGAAGCGTGATTGAGTTCAGGGCAATGAGCTGAGTACAACCTGTACTTATTGCACCATGAGGAAGTATCTTGGGTTGGCTGGCACTTGAGCCAGGAAGAAAAATAGGTTACTGGAAGCCTAGCTGCCCTGACTGTTTGGGCATGTCTGATGCAAGGTGAGCTTCCAGAGGGCCAGAGCCAGTTTCTCTTCTTGGTACCTTAGCACCTATCACAGTGTTCAAATGGGAGACTAAGGGAAGGAAATGCTGTGATGGATTCTGACTCCACTTAAAGAGTGAAAGAGGCATGCTAACCTGACAACTCTTGAACTCCAGATACAAGAGTAGGTCAGGGCTCCTCGCCCATCTTAGACACTATAAACCAACTTGATAAAGAAGCCTGATCCACAGGTTCTGGGAACCAGAAAGAGGTGTAGTCCTGTGCTTCATGCAAATGATCGTTAGGACTGGCTATGTGAGAACTTTCAAAGTAGCACAACTGTAAGTTAGCTCCGGGTTCCATAACTTCATCCACTATATGTATTCATAAGTCCCCAACTTAGAAATACCTACTGTGTATGGGTATATGTATATGGGGCTTAGAATTGGGAAGGGAATACCAGGGAACTGTGAAATACATGTACCATCTTCATGGAGCTTATGATCTAGCAGACAAGATGAGACTTGCTTACACTAGATATCTCCCATCCAAGTACCAACCAGGCTTGACCCTGCTTAGCTTCCAAGACCAGACAAGACCCATCAAGTTCAGTATGGTATGACTGTAGGCTTACATTGGATAGCTAAGATATATATGTATATATATAGAGAGAGATTGTAGTATCATTATAGTATTAAAGATGTAATTAAGGCCCAAGGAAATGAAAAGTTTTCAATACAATAAAATATATTGCTTCAAATGTAATTGCAAGACCATCTAGCTTTGTAAAATAAATAACTTACTACTACTTGGCTGTTTGTGTTGGCTGCAGTATTTTTGATATTCTTATGCATTCAAATATCAGTTATTTTTAGGTTTATCTCTGAGGACCATTCATTATGGAAAGACCCAAGACAGACTTCCCCTTTTAGAAAAAAAAGACAAAGTAGATAATGCAAAGCCCTCTTAATACAAACACCCAGAAATGATTAGTATAACATAAATCTCTTTAAATTGATGATTGGTAAAAGACAATTGTGTTGTTCAAAGAAAAAATAATAATGCATTGGTGTATATACAGTGTATGTAAAAGCAAAATGTGTGATAACAATAACACAAAGGTTGGGAAAGGGTATATGGAGAATAGTCTTTAAGGTTTTGTGGGGGCTGGGAGGAGAGGGTTACTGTGTATGTGTTTGTTAAAGGGGAACGTTTGATGTCCTGTTCCTTATTCTGTCTTATTCCTTTGTGATAGGGTCCCTCACTGAACCTGGAGCTAGGCTAGCAGAGATACACTTGTCTCCCCACACCTAGTTCTGGGGTTACACATGCATGCAACCACATCTAACTTTCTTACTTGAGTGTGGGGGATTTGAACTCAGATTGTCACACTTGGACATCAAGAGCTCCCACTGGCTGAACCATCTCTCCAGCCTTGTTTAAGGTTCTTATGCTATATGTGTGAAGTAATACAGTATCACTTGAGGTAAACAGTGTTACCCTAAAGCAACCTCTAAAACAATGCAGTACTGAAAAAAGGTATAGTGGTTCATGATTGTAATCTCAGCAATTGCGAGACTGAGGAGGATAATTGCTGTGAGTTTGAGGAAAGGCTGGCCTACATAGAGAGTTCTAGGCCAGCCAGGGCTACATAGTGAGATGATGTCCAAAACTAAACCCCAATCAATAAAAAAAATTAATTAAAAATATAA